CTAGCGCGCTGATCAGCTGTTTGTCGGCTCAGCGCGGCAGCCATGTAAATTTAAATGAAGCCGCGATCATTTAAATCGCGGCTTCATTTGACTTTGCCAAAACAACAAATCTACATGGCTCCGTCGATGGAGCCATATAGTTTAGACGTACCCTATTTGTCCAGCTTCGGGTGGTGAGTCACGCTTTCAGGCTTTCACTGAGCTCTTCTTCAGTGACAACTGCAGTTGCTCACAAGAGAAAGTGGCTTTTGTTTCTTTCAATGCTATTTGATGACCCAGAGGAAGAACTGACTCTTCCACTCCCAGTAATGGGTTCCATGTGTTGTGGGATAGTTCCCTTGTCCCTCACCCAGGGGGCAGAGAGCCCCTGGGCCTCCTGGCATCACACCCCATGTCTCCTGCAACACAGATATGGCTATACCCCAAAGCGCCTCTTCCCTGGGTGGTACAGCCCCCCCCCGGCCAATGTGGCTTACTGGCCAGAGTCTCTAGGAACGCCCCCTTCACCAGGGCAACGTGACCTAAGAGCCAAATCAGTAGTCCGGGATGGTGTCCCCTCCCTCTCCACAGGGTCCCAGTCCATGGCCCTGTCAGTGGTGGGCATGTCCCACCACTAGCTCAGTGGGGAGTCCACCCAAAATATGCTAAGCTCTCAGGGACTCCTGTTACCTTCCCTAGGCTACTTCCTACCCTGTCCAGGATTGCTGGCATCTTCCAAGCTGGGCCTTTCTATGTCCGGTCTCTGTTGACTGGCCTCTGCGGCAGCATCCGTCTGCTGCTCCTCCTCTGGCCGGCCGCCTGGTCTGGCCTCAGAGGCGGCTCGCCTGCAGGAGCTTGAGCAGCACGTCCTTCTTCCTCAGCAGACCACCCAGGCTAAGCCGCCTCCTAGACTTTTATACCTGGGCTGTCATCCGAGCATGCCCAGCAGGATGGTGGGGTCAAGACTTCTTCAGCCAGGTGAGCCTGGTTAGGCTCCGCTTTTGCAATGCAGGGCTGGTACACCCTGTCACACCCTAATTTAGGGAACCACTGTAATGGATGGGGCAGTATTGCCTAGTGGACACAGCTGGGGATTGGACCCAAAGGGTACGTCTAGACTACAGGCTTCTGTCGACAAAGAGCGTCTAGACTACATTGAGTTCTGTCGACAAAGCAGCTTGCTTTGTCGACATGGTAGTGTAGACGCAAAGGACAGTTTACATGCAATAACACCTTCTGTCGACAGAAACTCTGTCGACAGAAGGCGTTATGCCTCGTAAAATGAGGTTTACCAGCGTCGACAGAACTCAGCGGTAGTGTAGACGCAGGTATAGTTTTGTCCACAAAAGTCCACATTTGTCGACAAAACTCTGTAGTCTAGAGACACCCAAAGAGAGGTGGGTTCTCTTCCTGCCTTTTCTACAGACCTTGGATAAATTTCTCCCCTTTGTCCCAGCTTTGTGCTTCAGTGTCACCCACTGTAAAATGGGGATTACGATACGACCTTCCTTTTGGATATTATTATATGAATGAGCTAATGGTGTCTCTCTTTAAATCTGGGATTGCTTTTTCTGGGGTGGGGTTGGGACTAAACGAAGGGGAGTGCTGAGCTCTGAAAAGGGCATAATGTAGTGCTGGAGCTCTTGTCTCCACTCGGTTCTGTTGTGCAGCGCTCTCTGTGCTTCCTCCTCCCAGACTGTGTGGCAGTTACTCTCCATCCTACAACCTGACCTTCCTGTCCTCCCAGAACGTCATGCTGGTCACGCTGACAACTGACGCCAAGGGGCGGAACCCTGGGTTCAAGGCCGAGTTCTTCCAGCTCCCAAAGAAAGAAAGTAAGTGGGGGGCGGGGGGGGCGGCTCGGGAAAGTCCCATCTCATGAAGATGGGGGAGTGGGAGCAGGCCCTAGTCATGATGCTGCCAACTGCACGTGAGACCCTGACCCTTCCTGGCTCTCCGAAGCTCATGTTTTACCCACAATGCACTTGGATTCTTTAATGATGCCCCCTCAGGAAAAGAGGGGAGGAATTATGTTGGATTAGATGTGAAGACCACCTAACTGGTCTCCTGGGTCATATCCAGGCCTCTGGGATCTCCAGAGATCAACTTAACCTTGTTAAAGGTTGCTCTGCATGTCTGTTTCTGCCTTGGTAATAGCCCATCGCTGCCTTTGGAAGCCCCAGCATCTTGATTTCCCTTTCCCACTTCTCTTCTAGCCTGTGGTGGGACTTTGAAAGGAGGAAATGGGACCTTTACCACCCCTTATTTTCCGGCCCACTATCCGCCGAACTTGGATTGCATCTGGGACATAGAGGTGAGCGTGCTGGACAGACCTTTCTGCCTGTCATGGCTTGGTAGAGGCAGGAGGCCTGCTGGGGTCAGCTTAGCCCATTGTTTAAGCCACAGCAGGGAGGTCAGCTGGTGATCGCTGAGGCCAACAGGTTAGCAAGATGCACAGAGTTGACGCTTATCCTCTCCGCTGTGTTTTATGTGAACAATAGCATTGGCTGTGGCTTTGCACAGGGCATCAGAGACCTCAGGGAACAAGCCAGCCTCTGATTGCTGGGTTTGGGAGGTAATAAAAACCTCTCCCTGGGTAGATTTTTTTTTTTTTTTTTCCCATTGTGGATGGTCCTGTACTTCTCTACCACACACCTGCTAGTGGCCACCCTCAGGGATGGGATGCTAAAGTAGATGGGTCCTGGCCTGACTTGATTTGTCCATTTCTATTTTGATTTCTCCTTCCTTCAATGTCTCCCTAATTTGCTTTGTTCAATCCTTGTTCTGAAGGACTTGGGGATGGGGGGTAGCTTCCCTGACCATGCATGTCTTTTCTCTGAAACTGAGCAGGTCAGCTGGATGATGGGGAACTCCTTAGCAGCAACTGGCTCCGTGTGGCTAGAACTAAAGATACGACTTACCTGGCAACTTGTGGGAATTATCCAGACCAGTAGTCCCCAACCTTTTGGGGCTACCGGGAGCCTGGGGGCGGGGCCGTGCATGTGCTGTGTGCCCAGGGCACAAGGTGCAAGAATGGCTCGGGTCAGCCCTGGTCACTAGGCGGCAGCACATAACTGCCCCGGTGGGCACCATGGTGGGGACCACTGAGCCAGAGCATACAGCTGGTAGACTGACTGTATGGCTGGCCAGGTCTCTGTGCATAAATACCTGAAATGCTCCCCCCTTTTGTAAACCCTCCCACTTCTGTGCAGGTGCAGTGTGTTCTCCTACCCACCTTCCTTATGGCCCAGCTCTGCTGTTGCGCTCCTGCCAGGGCCACTGCTTGCAGCCTGGTGGCAGAATCCTGGCTTCCACACAGTTGGCAGCTTGCACAAGAATTCAAAGACCTGCAGAGGCAAAAGAATGCCCCCCACTGAGACCCAGAGCACTGGGCAAATGCCCAAGAATGTTCTGCTTTGGCCTTTTGTCATGGACTCATGCTCCACCCCCTAAATCTTGTCCATCCTCCCACGCAAGTTGGTTGCTCCCTTTCTGTTTAGTCACTGTAGAAGGAAGGAAGAGAAACCAGTTCCCATGCTGACTTAACTGCCTTTTGTCTTGCCCTCTCAGGTCCCCTCTACAAAGAACGTGAAGGTGCGGTTCAACCTGTTTTATGTGTTGGAACCTGGCGTGCCTGTCAATACTTGTACCAAGGATTATGTGGAGATCAGTGGTGCAAAGTAAGTGCCGGGCACTGTGGCGTGACTCAGACACAGGTTGGGGTATGGTCAATGAAACTAATGGTGGCGAATGAAACGGGTCGAATGACAATCTTTTTCATGAAACGCATCATTAGACAATGGAACTCTCTGCCACAGGGTTATTGAGGGAAAAAATGATTCTAAATAGGATTGGGCATTTCTCTGGTTTACAAGAATATCCAGAGCTGTTACAAGCAGATCCTAGCAGACTCCAGAAGAGAGAGAACCTTTACTTCGGGGCTTAAGCCAGTAACTATTTAGGATTAGGGTGAGACCTTCTTGGGGGCAGGTTCTTACATCTTCCTAATGTTGGGCTCTTGCACTGTCCTTTGAAGCATCTGGCACTGGTCACTGTTGGAGATGGGATACTGGACTGCATGGACCTGCCTTTCCAATGTCCTGTGGAGAATGGTGGAGTTACACCAAGCCTGGGCGAAATACAGCCCGTGGGCCGCATCCGGCCCACCACGCCACTGGATCCGGCCCGCAGAGACAGTGGGGAGCCCCCCACACCACTTAGAAACACGGCTGCAGGGTGCTTTCTCTTTGAGTCTGGAGAGGAGGGGGGAAGATTCAGATGCTGCTCCCACCTCTAGCACAATCCTATTGGCCAATGGGAGCTGCCTGTTTGAATGACAGGCAGCCACTCTCCTGCTCATTCACTCAGGAGCATGGCCAAGCAGGCAGAAACACTCTGGAAGCAGGCTGATTTGGCTGCTAAGTGGTATGTCTCCTGGCCAGAACCTACCTCTTGCACCCCAGCCCCTCCTCTTGCAAACCTCTGTGCTCCACACTCCTGCCCTGCTACTCCACGTGCACCCATACCCCTCCCAGATCTGTTACCCCAATCTCCTGCCCTAGGTCACATCCCAAAACCTGCACCCCAGTTCCCAGCCCTAAGTCCACAACTTCCTCCTTCTACCCAAATTCCCTCCCAGATTCCATTCTCCCCCCTGCACCCCAGTCCCTTATCCCAAGCTCTCTTCTGCACCCAACCTCCATCCCAGACCCTGCACCTTCTCCATTAATACCATGGAAGAGTGTGATCCTCAAGGACTTTACAAAAATCTTAAGAGTGGCCCCCCTGTCAAATTATTACCCACCCCAGGGTTACACTATAGCTGCTGTGAAAATCTGGCTCCCAGACTGGTCACTATAGCTTGGTATCTCTAGTTGACTTTGAATATCAGATGCTGTCTACAAAGCTTAAGACTGTCAGATGCCAGTTAGGATCCAGATAGGATTGATTTTTATCACTCACAATGAACAGCCCTGTGCTTTCAACCTCAGTAAATGTTCTAAAAGGGAAAAAGCCCATTGCTATGATGAAGAGGAGGTGTGCTCTGTGTTTCTGTAACTAATACGCAATGGCAGATGAATAGAAATTTAAAGCACAGTGTGCCGAAAGCCAGACCAGCTGTATATGCCACAAGGACCACTTGGTTATGTTAAGTTTTCCATTATTTTGCTGATGGAATTGAAAGCAACACCTGCTTGCTGCTTTGCAGTGCCACATAACTGTCTGTTGAATGCTTGGGTCAGCTCGCTAAGGCTTTTGGAAATGTGTGGGGGATCAAAATCTAAACTTGGACCTAAATTGTACTGCTAGCCCTTGGGAACAGTTATATTGTGGGAGCATGCCAGCAGAGATTCAAATGCTGCCCTGCTGATTAGAAGAGTGCCCACAGTCTTTCACAGATGGCAGCATGTATTTATATTGGTGGTGCACATAGCATATACCTTGGTGCATGCAATAATTTTATTCTGCACATGGATGGAAAAATAAGAGCATTGCTGAGGTGTTCCTGCCATGGACCAGGAGCCCTTTGTGTCAGGTGCTGTATACACATGGGAAAAAGAGTCTGTGCCCCAAGGGGCTTACAATCTGAATATGAAAAAAGAGACAACAGGTGGCTCCAGCAGCCACTGGACCTCAAGAAAGCAATGTGATGACCATAGTGTTCAGTGGGAGGGGAAGAGGTGTGTCACACATCTGCTGCTAACAGTTCTCAAGATTTTTGCAGGCCTTATATCTCACGTGGGCCATATCACACAGGCCCTGGTCCCCACCTGCCACTGATGCAAGCATCTTGATTTTGAAATTCAAAGTTTCAGCTTTGCAGCTCTGCAGCTGGGGGAGAGGCATCTAAATTTGGCACCCTGCATGGAGCTATGGCCACCCCACTAATCCATACTGCAGTCAGCCTGGCTACGTCTACACTGGCCCCTCTTCCGGAAGGGGCATGTAAATTTCACTAGTCGTCGTAGGGAAATCCGCGGGGGATTTAAATATCCCCCGCGGCATTTAAATAAAAATGTCCGCCGCTTTTTTCCGGCTTTTAAAAAAGCCGGAAAAGAGCGTCTAGACTGGCCCCGATCCTCCGGAAAAAGTGCCCTTTTCCGGAGGATCGGGGCCAGTCTAGACGCTCTTTTCCGGCTTTTTTAAAAGCCGGAAAAAAGCGGCGGACATTTTTATTTAAATGCCGCGGGGGATATTTAAATCCCCCGCGGATTTCCCTACGACGACGAGTGAAATTTACATGCCCCTTCCGGAAAAGGGGCCAGTGTAGACGAGCCCTTCCGGAAAAGGGGCCAGTGTAGACGTAGCCCCAGTGTTTAGAGTAAGTGGGAATGAAAAGAACCTGTTGGTGTCCTGGGCCAATGAGTGCGTGTGTGTCTCTCTTTCTCTCACTTCCATACTGTAACAGTTTCTAAATCTGTACTCTCCCCACCCCCAGGTACTGTGGAGAGCGCTCCAAGTTTGTGGTGGCAAGTACTAACAACAAAATCACAGTCCGGTTCCATTCAGACCAGTCATACACAGACACTGGCTTCTCCGCAGAGTTCCTGTCTTACGATTCCAGTGACCGTAAGTTGAAATCCACATGATGTAAACTTTCAGGGGAATTTGGTTTATTTTCTTAGCTACTGAGGAGCAAGTGACACAGTTGTGTTATTGCTCTGCCCTTTGACCTCTAGCAGGCATCTGTTTAATTGTTGCTTGGGCCATCAGTGAAATGAGTTTTGGGGCAGATGGGCTATCACAGCTCAGGGAGGACAACTCTTCACAGATTTGGCTTACTGCTGTAGTTGTCCTGTACATTGGGTAGCACACATTCATTGTTCACTGACAAAGCCCTGGGAATTCCCTAGGGATCTATTTTCATGTCCCATTTTTAAATAGTGCAGTTCTGAGGTACATGCAGGTTATTGTTAAAGATGGGCCTTGAACTGGACAGCCCCAAATGCTGGGAAGTACTGAGCCAGACTGAGTGTTGAGACTGTGAATGGGCTGAAGGAAACCCTGCTTGGAATTGAATGAGATCACCTCCGGTCGCCAGTGGGGCTAGAACACAAGACCTCAGGCGTTGGCAGTATTTCAGTGAAAGGATAGTCCCTGTTCACTGGGAGTAATTAGCAGATTGTAGTTGTCTCTGCACCCAGCACCAGTGGGAGACATAGAATCATGGAACTGTGGGAGTGTGAGGGACCTGCACTCAGTGCACTGACTCATTGAGCCCAGGAGGGACAGATACACTTGTGCTTTGTGGGAGCCTGAATCGGGATCCACTCTGTTGTTTGAATCTTGTCTCTAATGATGTTCTCACCTAATGTCTCACTTTGGCTTCTTCATGCCAAGTGCCCAGTGGGTGGAAACAGATGTGATGAAATGTAAGTATCAGGCTTACTCAACTGCTTACCAGGTAGCTGGTTGGATGGCCAGCCCGGGCAGGGAGGAGAAGCCCTGGCTGAACCCAGCTGGCCACGCTAGGGCTGGCAGACAATGCCACAGACCCAGCTTTTCTGACTCAGCCCATGCAGGTCAGAAGAACTTTGGCTCCAGCTGTGCTGGGGCAGGCAAGCAGGACTCCCATGCTAGTGCAGTCTGGATGACTCAGTGGGACCCCAGTCCTGGGTACATTGGGACAGACAGGTGGGACCCTACTGTCAGCTGTGCCAGGGTGAGCCGGTGGGACCTCAGCTGCTCTGGCTTGGCTTGGGTGGGCCGGTGGGGCCTCTGCCATGCCAGGTAAGCAGGTGGGACTCCATCCCCGGCTGTGCTGGCCTGGCAGGTGATGCCCCCGCTCAGACCACTCTGGGCTGGCGGAACCCTGGCAAACAGTTAACCAGTTAAAGGTTATAACTTTAGTTGTTTAACCAGTTAACTGTTTAAACTGTTGTTCAATCCCTAGAACACTCACCCATGTTAGTCCAGATGTGACCTCAGTGCAGCATGCATGGATAGAGAAATGGCCATGCCAAAAATCAAATGCTAGAAGAGCTGGTGGTGACTGGCAAGGCTCATGCATGTTGTACTTTTTCTTTTCCCCTCCCTTCTGCAGCCTGTCCTGGCAAGTTCACCTGCAAAACTGGCCGCTGCATTGACAATGCTATGCGCTGTGATGGCTGGGTGGACTGTACGGATGCCAGCGATGAGCGCTCCTGCAGTAAGTCCTTCCTTTCGATTCTCTTTGCAGGGCCCTGTGGTGGGAGGGAACTCTTGGTTTGCTCAGGGCTCCCCAACTGAGCAGAATGGGTTAATGCATCAGGGCTGGGGATTGATGGCCATGCTTGGTAGTCTAGCTGCAGGACTGGAAGTTGCCCGGATTGGGGTGTCTCTTAGCATCTGTGCATCCAAACCTGCAAGAATAAAGCCTAAGGAAGAGAGATCTTAGTGGGAAAATTCCTTTCTTCATTGCTAGGGCCAGCAATCATCTCATCAGAGCCACCATCCTGCTGGAGGTGAATTTAGACATGGGTACAAATCCAAGGCTGACTGGATGGCTCCAGCAGCCAATTATGTGGCCCATGGAGTGCACCCCCAGCAGATCCCACCCTCCAGGCTTCTGAGAGTTTGGGTAATTGCACTGTTGCAGTCTTAAAGTGATATACGCAAGCTGCTCCAGCTCTTTACATGCGTAGCAACTGATGCAAAGGTGTTGGTGCTGGGTCCTGTAATTCAACAGGACAGGAGTGAAAATGGACCTGGGTGCTGAAGTCCATAGAGCAGCTACTTTCATCCCACCGCCCAGCTGAGTGGGTTGATCTGAACATCTTGAACAGTGCAGACGTGGGATGTCCAAAGATCAGGGCTTCTTGGTGCTGTGGCTTTTTGTTTGGGTCAGACTTTTCGTCTTGTTTCCAAGAAGAAAAGTCAAGCCCTGCTGGCTTGGGGAACTGTATAACTGGGAAGAACCTCGAGATGTCATCAAGTCCAGTCCCTGCACTCATGGCAGGACCAAGCACCATCCCTGACAGATAACTATCTAACCTCTCTTAAATATCTGCAGCGATGGAGATTCCACAACCTACCTAGGCAACTTATTCTAGTGTTCAGGAAAAACTTCCTGTCAGGGTGGTTAATGTTCAACCTAATCCTCCCTTACTGCAATGTAAGCCCATTGCTTCTTGTCCTATCCTAAGAGGTTAAGGAAAATAATTTTTCTCCCTCCTGGTTGTAACAGCCTTTTAGTACTTGAAAGCTGCTTTTATCTCCTCTCTGTCTTTTTTCCAGACTAAATAAACCCTGTTCTTTCGGTCTTTCCTCAGAGGTCATATTTTCTAGACCTTTAATCATTTTAGTTGCTCTTCTCTGACTTTGTCCAGTCTCTCTCTGCTCTCTACATCTTTCCTGAAATATGGAGCCCAGGACTGGACACAATACTCCAGTTGAGGCCTAATCAGCACAGAGTAGAGAAGAGGAATTATTTCTCATGTCTTGCTCCCAACACTCCTATTAATGCATCCCAGAATGGTGTTGGCTCTTTTGGAAAGTGTTATATTGTGGGCTCTTATTTAGCTTCTGGTCAGCTAGGACCCCATGCCCCAACCAAATATCAGGAAGCTCCTGACGGAAACAGTTCCTCCCCCCAGCCCACTATAGACAAGGAAAAATCAGTGGTTTGATCAGTCTGGAATCCCCTTAAAGTTTGTGAGCCTCCATTTGTATGGTTATGATACTTCCTGCAACGAGCTAATGACGGGTGACTTCCATTCACTAGCTGCCCTCCCACCACTGCCCGTTGGGTGACTTCCTGCCATTTAATCCTCACTGATTCCATTTTGGGGTCCCAGTCATCTGGCATCTGCATGCCCTGGGGTCTGGCGTATCCTCATGCCCAGGGCACTGCAGTGTTCTTTATAGTTCCTTCCTGTTATGTGTGTTTGTGAATTGATTTTTCTCTTGGACTCATGGGTGATGGCATTAGCCATGGCCTAAAGTCCAGGAGAGGAGATTGGAGCCTCTGGGTCAGGTGTCATTGTGTTAAATGACTAGACTCCACTGCCTTGGGAGACAAGTAGGGTCCTGTCAGCCCATGGATGCTCACTGCCACCTCTCTTTGGCTTGAGGGGATGAGTGGGTGTTGGGTGCTCTCTCAATCTGAGGCTCTTTTCAGGTGAATTTTTTTCTTATGTTGAAAAATCTGTTCTCCAGTTCTTCTCTGCTCCCTCCCACAGATCTGTCTGCGCTGCTGAGCTTGACCAGTTAGAGGCACAGCAGCGCTGCACATGTTTACTGCCCTCTCAGGAACTATGGCCAGCTGAGTCTTGTTTAGTTTGAAACACAGTTGACTTTCTATAATGGGTTTGGTTGGTCTTGCTTCCTCCCAGCTTTTCCAGTGCATTCCAGAAAGCATTTCTCCTGGTGCTTCTGGTGCCCGTCGGCATGTGTGCCTGCTGGGCATTTGTTCCCATGTTGAGGCTCTATGGGATAGCTCTCTGAATTTTTCCCAGAATCCCCTAGGACAAACACTTGGCAGGTGAGGATGCCCAAACTGAGTGAAAGAAGTTGCATCCTGGGTGCCACTCAGTCCTGCTTCTCATAACTTGCTCAGATTAAGACGTTGTGAACAGGCTACATAAAATATATCTGTGTGGGTAGCCAGGCTTTGGGGAATTTTCAGGACACCAATTTCCTATGCTATCTGTGAGGCTGGTGCCAGGTGCTGAGCTGACTGGGATGGCCTGGTGTTGCAGAATTTTCCTTCTCAGCCCCAGACGTTTTAGCCAATCTTGTCCCTATCGGATGTTGCAGTGACTCCTGTTGCTCCTTCTTAAGGTTCTTTATCCTCCTGGGTGTTCCCTGACTCCGGGGGCTTCCTGTGCAGTCAGTTGTTCTGGCTTGTGTCTTTCTCAGGACGGGTCCCAGCATGGGAGGTTGCTGAGTACCTTCCACTCCCATGGGTACAGATACAGGAAGGACTCTGTAGCATGTAGGGCCTTGTCCAAAGTGTTCTGTGTGCATCTCCAATTTAGAAGGACCTGCTTAAAGGCTACTGGCTGAAACCCAACACCAGCCTGTAGCTGTGAATCTTCCAGGTGAGCAATGGCACCATGCATCATTTCGCTCCCCTTCCTTCCTCAGACTGCACCGAGAACCAGTTCCAGTGCAATAATGGCTGGGGCAAGCCCCTCTCCTGGCGGTGTGAACGATTGTGGGGACCACAGCGACGAACTGCAGTGCAGTAAGTGACTCACCCATTGCTTCACCCTGGCCATTAAATCACAGCATTTAACCTCAAAAGGTTAAACCAGAACACCAGAGGCCACCAGGTCCAGCACACAGCTGGGGGGGAAGTAGCACTGAGAACCGACTGCCCTCAGCCCCGCTTTCTGATGGTGTGGAGCCACCCCCCACACACACTTTGACCTGGAGTGGTGACCCTGGAGACAGGCAGAGGAGTCTGGCCAGGAGGGAGGGTGCAGGAGCTGGCTGGAGTCTTGGTGGGTGTGTGTGTGTGTGTGTGAGAGAAATTGGGGGTACAAAGTCTGGGCATGAGAGGGATGTGAAAGCACCACCTCCTGATGCTTCCATTGACCTCAATTTGGCCAGTGGGAGTAGTGGAGAAAGCCTCTGGCAGTGTGTTCGTGCCCCTGGGGGCTTTCTTTCCCCACCAGCAGGAAGATGGCACTGGCGCTCCAGCCTCTGTGGTGGAGGAGGGGGTGTGTGAGTGGGACTCAGACCCATAATCCCATGTTCTGGAAGCTGATGCCTTATCCATTAGGGCAGTAGGCCCCACCAGAACATGGGGCTGATCTCCTGCCTATCCCAGGCTGCTAACATCTCCCCCCTCCCACAAATCAGCAACCACAATTAGACCAAAATATTCTAGCCCCCCGAGAACAAGCAGGACCGAGACATGGATATGTGTGAACCACTGGTGGGCGGAGTGCAAGAGCTGATGAGGTGAGACCTTGATGTGACGAGGTGAAATTGGGGTGACTCTGACTTTAGTTTGAACAAAGAGAGGGAAAATCAGCTTTACCTACTCCCTCACCCCCTCAAATTAGTGTGACTGACTGGAGCTAGCTTAATATTTGCGCTTTTCCAACAAATAACTTCATTTAAAAAAATGAAGCTTTTCCTGTGTTCTGAGTGCCCTAACACAGTGGTTCCCAACGTTTTTTTACACCGTGGACCAGCAAACCCATTCACAAACTTTTGGTGGACCAGCAACTTTTATTTGCATATTCATTAAATAAAATGTTACCTATCTGCCAACCACTCACCCACTGACCCTGTCTTGTCACTGCATACCTATCCCTCTGCCTCCAACCCCAGAACCCTCAGACCCTGTCCAGCCAACCCTGGTACTCTGTGTGTCTGTATTATTAAACCTGCCAAACCCATCATCTGATATCCCCCATATGCCACAAAACCCATTACCTCAGAGGTCTGTCTTGCCAAGCCTGTCATCCCAGTGTCCACCATCTCCCGCTTCCCAACACCCTCTGCTGCCAACTTCCTTTTATCAGCCACCTCTGTCCTGCCTGGTGCCTGTCCTGCATCCGTTGTCACTTCCAATCTTGGCACACTGTGTCCCAGCGATCCCTGATTTAAATTGACAACCTCTCAATTCCCTGGATCCTGCCCTACCACTCCAAGTCCTCCCTAATCCTGTCCCAGTACCTGCAGTGCCCCTTGCTCCATAAACTCCATGCCTGCCTGTTGTGCCAAACCCTGATCCTGCCTCACTGCAACTGCCTGTTGCACAAGCTCTGAGGCCCCCTGACCCTGCTCAGACACCCTCAGCTCTGCTGCCCCCTGAGACAGAAGCACCAGCTGCACCACACCTGGCTCCAACCACTGACCCACTGCAACCCACCCCCTTTTGCCCTTTGACCTCTAATCCCTGCCCTCCCCCCTTAACTAAGCCTCAACCCAGCTCCTTGCTCCCCAGTGCCTAACACCCTATGCCCCGTACCCTTTGACCCTTTAAACTCTGACCTCTACATCCCATGCCAACACCCTCTTGACCTGTGACCTCACCACGCCCCCTCCCCACCCCCACACTACCCAGAGCAAGGCTGCCCCCTTTAGGGACCATGGTTGTTGCTGCCATGTGGGCAGGGGGAGTGGCCATTGGTGGTACGCATGCTCCTTCCTCCTTGCCTCTCCCTTCCCAAGTGCATCTCGTGCCCCCGTGGGTAGTGGCAAGGGTGAGGGGGAACATGGAGCCCTGGCCGGGCCACCATCTTTCCTGGGTGGGACAAAGGAGAAGGGGAGAGGTGCCGCCTCCTGCCACAGCCTCAGCCCCAGAACTGCCACCAGGTAAGATCAGCCACTAGAGTTGCTGGAGCTGAAGCCAGCTGCTGTGCAGTGGCGCTGCTATGGCCCAGTGGCCAGCAGTTCACAGCCTGGCACCAGTCTGTGAACTGGCCGTTGGGATCTGCTGTCCTAACGTAATTAATTCATATCATTTATACTATTGTATTAAGTCCCAGCAGTATTAAAATCAGTTCTATGGGAACTTTGTTGCCTGCCAGTCACTTGCCCTTTCTGATTTAGGAAGCACACCTTCAGCCTTCTTCAGAGACCCTTTTAAACCAAGAGCACCTGGAAAGTTGCCAACTATATAGGACAAAGTGGGAGTAATATATAGTGCTGTGTAATGAATAAACTGGCTTGGAAGGACTTGATTTTTGTAAATATCGGTTAATGTCAATTTCACCATACACACAAAACACAAACAACTGTTTCCATCAAGGATGATCAAAATGTACAGAGAGGCAAAGTAAGAGAAAATGGTGCTTGAGAGTGGTTTTAATTTAGAGTTTTGATTCAAGGGTGCATTCCTTTGTATATCATTTGACAGGAGATGGTGACAATTTAGTTGTTTTTTTTTTTTATAAAGCTTTATCTTTTTGCATCTCAAAGTCTGTTATTCAAATAACTATTGTCCATCTCTGGCTTCCAGCCAATGAAAATTTCAGCTGATAAAAATAGAAGAAAAAATGCTTCAGAAAGTAATTTTGCACACCTGTGAAAAGCAAACTGGATAAAAAGCTTAAAAATAAATGTCTATTATCCATTGAAATGTGTGTGTGTGTGGGGGGGGGGGGGGTGTTTTGTTTTGTTTTTAAATGACAATTGAATTTGGCCAAGCCTGAGGATAACATGATGCTTTGTAGAAAAGGGCAGAAAAAAAGAGCTTCTGGAGATAGATTCCTAGAAGATGATGGAGAAATACACAGGAAGGAACTAGAATAGATGTGCTGGGTTGGAAGAGTTAGTCTAAGCTTTAGGGAGCCACAGGGTCTGAGCAAGTCCTGCAGCCTCAGTAAGAAATCCCCTCTCTATTCCTGAAAGCATGGCCCTGCCTTCTCCATCATGTGGCTCACTTAAAGCCAGATCCTTGGCATTTTGTGCCCTCCTTGCCTTTTCTGAGCTGCTGCTTCCTCTCTCTTCCAGAATGTCCAGATATGCACTTCAAGTGCAGCAACGGGAAATGCATCCTTGAAACCCAGAAATGCGATGGCAGGGATGACTGCGGGGATGGGAGTGATGAGGGCAGCTGTGGCAAAGGTGAGACTAAGTGCAGAAGGAGACCCGTGAGAAGGGCACAAGACCTGCGTGAGATACCTGCAGGCCCCAGGAAGGGGCTGCGAACAGGGAGTTCTACAGAACCACGACAGTGTGTCCAGGTGGGGTTCTCTGAGCCATGATATGGCACCAGAGGTGGGATTCCCTTTTCCCACTGGGGTGGCAAAACCATGAAACAAAGTGAGGGGCTCATGTCATTCTGAGGCCCTTCTCCTGGGAAGGAGCCTAATGGACTGTCCCAGCCAACATTGCTCCCAGCCTCGCCTCCTCCCCCAGAGCTAGTGCCTGGCTGGTTCCCCCACACTGTGTAATCTGGAGCTAACACCTCTCCCTTCGACTGCCTGCAGCGGAGGCCGTCTCCTGCAAGGATTACACCTACAAGTGCCGCAACAACCTGTGTGTGAGCAAGACAAATCCTGAATGCGATGGGGAGAAGGACTGTGCCGATAACTCAGATGAGCAGAACTGTGGTAGGTGATGCTCCTTCTCAGTGTGGGTGGGAAACATTTCTAGCACTCCCTTAAATTAGGGCTTCACTCCCGTGAGACCTCCTAGTGATTATATGAAGCTGGAAAGGAAACATGGGATAGTTTGGGCTCCAAAACAGGTACACTGTACCTTTTGGAACTGATTTTGCTATTTTCATTTTGTTTGACTGATTTTTTTTATTTGTTTTTTAAAATTAAAAATAGTTCATGTAGGACCTACACAAATGCTTTTATTCGCCCACTGCTGCCTCTGCCATTGCAGTTTGTAAATACTCCTACTGCAATGATTGCTCCAGTGATCAGTAGCCAAATTGATTGGCCCATTAGATTCCCCAAGGGATGGGGAGGGAGTTGGATGAAATTGGCAGCAGGTAACTAACAGGAGTGGGGTTTCTTTTTCCTCTGGTCTTTCGCTCTCTCATCTCAGACTGTGGGATCCGCTCTTACAGCAAGCAAAGCCGAATCGTTGGTGGGTTGAACTCCGAAGTAGGCGAGTGGCCATGGCAGGTCAGCCTGCATGCGAAAGGCCAGGGGCACATCTGTGGGGCATCGCTGATATCGGACACGTGGCTGGTGTCAGCAGCACACTGCTTCAAAGACGATAGACAGATGAGGTTGGTGTGTGCAGTGGGACTGAGTCTCTGCTGCTGTCTAGGGTCGGACAGCCTGGGTGCCATGTCAGATGGGAAGATGTTAATCATGATGGCGGATCAGACCAATGGGCTCTTGGGTCCAATATCCTTCCACCAATGGAGGCCAGTAGCAGCTGCCACCTACCCATCTAGGTCAGTGGTAGGCAACCTGCAGCCCATGGGCCACGTGCAGCCCTTCGGGGTTCTATGTATGGCTTATGAGACATTTTGTGTACAACTGACCAGATTCTGCTGGTCTCCATCCATGTGTAGGGTTTTCTTCCCCTATGAGCAGGGCTCGACAAATCATTGAATCTACTCGCCCATGGTGAGTAGATTTCAGCAGGTTGCCACGGTCACCGGCGGTGCGTGCATGCGCAGTGCGGGGCTGGCGAGAGGATTTCGCTGCCGTTTGTCAAGCCCTGCCTATGAGTATTACTAAAGTGACGCACACCTAAAAGCCTGAACATGTGAAGTGAGGTGCATGCTGACTACACACAGCATTGACTGTGAGAACCGTGTGCTCTTTTTGCATCCACTCACAGCGCTGCTATGGTCCAACTGGCACACCCTGCAAATTGTAGGTTCCCAAGCTCAGTGAGCAAAAAAATCTTGCAGCCCATTGAGATGGAGGGACGCTCATGTTGTCTATTCACTAGCCTGGGTTTCCCATCGCTGGGCTAGGATGCTGACTCTGGGGTGGGGATGCTTTTTTTTTCCTTTCTAAATGTTGAATGGACACTTTACATCCTGGGCTGGGCCGAGTCCAAGTAATGGCTCCTGCCCTATTGTTCTCAGATGGAAGTTTCTATGGACTGCCCTCTAGGTCACTGGGGATGATAGGTACACTGCTGCTAGTCATGCTCAGTGGCAAGATCCTCTGCTGCTCTCCAGTGTCCCATTATGGTGGATCATTCTTGGCAAGAGGTGATTCTGCCATTGGTGTGGTAGGGGCTCCCACAATTAGTGTTCCCTGTAAACTGGGTGCTTGCGCGGCTACCAAGAGAGGTTCAAATGCCACTCAGCTGATTAGCAGAGTGCCCATAACCTGCAGCAGATAGCAAAACTTCTTCCACATATGGATAAAAAAATTAGAGGGAACATTGCCCACCATGCTTAGAAAACTGGAAGTGTGTGAGGTTTATCGTGTCGCTGGTCACTGCTGTTGAAACAGAGTCTTGGCCTTCCCTACCAAGTAGTTGATGACAGGAAAGCAGCAACTTGAAGAACTAGTCCTGCCAAACAGCTGGGAGTCAGGACACCTGGGGTCTGTTTCCAACTCTGCACTTGACCA